TCTCATATCTTCTACCTGGTGGCACAACTCAATGGACATATCAACAGGATTATCTGATAGTAATTGCTCTCATTGAGTTGCTGTAACCCTTATGCCTGGGTCAACCGAAGTAGAATCCAGCCACTTTGTCTTTTTATTAGGCTTTTTCTGATTGTCCTTGTCTTCTGCTCTACTCTAGAGTAACTAGCTTGAAAACTGCTTCTCAATGGTTTTTAACATCGTTGCCCTTTCTTGGAATCCATCCACATCACCTTCTGAATAAAATGTTTAAAATACAATTATCTCATGATAAAACAGCTGTCAAAAGCTACTTTAGAATGGAAGAGTTGAAACATAATGGAAATGTAAAATATACTGCTTAGAATCCATAGGCCAAAGCTATTCAGGCATGGTAATCTGTCATTTGAGTGTATGTGCTTAATGTATGAATGGCTTCCATCTAAGCCATAAACTTTTTTTTCTTCCTAAGCAATAAATAACAAGCCATAAATGCCTAAATAAAAAATTGGAACATGTATTTTATCTCTAGCATTGGGAACAATAATCAGATGATATACAATGAAATGTATGTAGTATTCCTTTGACGTTGATAAATTGCTTTTTGTCTTTTGCTTGTTTATTGTCGCAATTATAGAGTGATATGCACGTCTCCACAGGTTTCAGGCTTCTGCACAGAATAGATTAGCCACCATAGGTAGAGTAAGCACTCCACCACCCGTCCAAACAGCCTTACTGGCATCTGCAGCAATCTCTGAGGAGCAAAACATCCCCTTTCTCTTTGTTCATCATTGGTTTCTATAGGACAATAGTACCCTCTAATGGTCCAGGTATAAACTGCATAGATTTATATGTCACGTTTCCTGCTAAGTAACAGGAGGAAAATGCGGACTGAACAGATGGGATTTAGCAATATGTGCCTGTAAGATGGTAGTAATCATGGCAAGAACAAGCTCCTAAAATTAAGTTGATATTTATCAAATGTTCTGTTTTGCAGTAGGGTGAACTTTTCCATTTTCTTTGAAAAGTTAAAAAATCTACAAGCTTTGACATTATAGCTGTCATCCAGTTTCTAGAATCTTTCTTGCTAATGGTTTCTCTTATTTGTTACATGAATATTCATCTAAACTATGTGCTTAAGAAAAAACGGAGGGGAGGGGAAATCTGACACATAAAAAAAAGTGAAATGTTGAGACCAGATCAAAGTTGAAACAGATGAGGGGAGTTGAAACAAGACACTGGGACTCTCTTATGTTTTAGAAAACAAAATTCTAGGCCAGCACCCTTATTTGCATTTTGTATTTAATGATTAAGGTCATTTTATTTCTTACTATCTCATCTAACCTACATTTAAAATCTAGGATAGGCTCTGATTTACATTTATTAAATGAAGGGGAAATCTCATGGAAGGGCAAAACTGGTTGAAGATTCATTTGATCCCATGCTCCAGACGCAGAAAAGACCTCATTTAAATAGTTTAAAAAGTTAGGTTTTTTTTTCCTTATTATGGTTACACAATTGAGAAAATGCATCTTCCTGTTTGTCCCTGGTGGTTTGGATAACAGGAATTTGCCTCCTTAGAAGCACAGCTGTTTTAACAAACGTTCTCCTGAACCACCTACAACTCACATGCATTAATAATCGTTTGCCAGTCTTAACTGCTTCGTGGCAGACTCTATAAACATTTAAAGCCATGAATGCCACATGCAGATTGTTTAGCCCAATTGGTAACAAGGACACTTTAAGCAGGCCTAAGTCTGACCTATATTGTAATATTTAAGCCTGAAATCTAATAATTACAGCTATCATGTCATTACATAAATGTGTAAAACTGCTATCAATTGTTTTTACACTTCAGGACATTCTATAAGAGTGTAAAGAAACAGGTAAGATAATTGTGATGCAACTGGATCTTGTCACTTTAACAATATTTTTATTGTTAAAACTATTAACAATAATTCATACTTTACTTTGGGAGATTTCTTTTGATATTATACTATTAGGCTGCAAGGCAAAATAGTGTTTGCTTTTCAACTGGATAACTCTTACTTTTCACTGAGACTTTATGTCTCCGATTGATATTTAGAAATTAGTACACCTTACATAGAGCTACCCTGTATCCTTATGTCCTTTTTTCTTTATAATTGCACTATTGTTCTAAATGATATACACTTCAGAGCAAGTTCATATTTTAAAATAAATGTCTACGTAACAGTCCATAGTATTGTTCTTTCAATGTGAATTCATACTAGAATATGAAATTGGAATATCTGTGTAGACTTTATTTTTAATTGTATAGACTTTAATATGTTCAGTTCTAAACATGCTAATATAGAGATAATACTAATAATTTGAAACTGTTTCATTCACACATCTGTAAATTTAGAAGTTTATAACTGTTTACCTATATAGCAAATATTCTTGCCTTACTTAATTTTTATTTTTTTAAAAATAATACAATAGTAATGTTATTGAATTTTATATATACATGTTAGATAATGGAGCTTATGATAATCGTATTTATAAGCAAGAGGAGAGCAAACTGAAAAACTAAGAATACAGGGACATTTAAATTAAGTCTATGCAGTCCCACAAAGAAATCAATGAACTTTGGAAGAAGAGTAGCAGGTTTAATGTTAAACACTTAAATCTCCTTCAGGCCAATGGACAGTTTTACAGAAAGAGATGAATATGCTGATCTTAAGGGATGCTATTATGAAATACTGGTCATGGAATGTGTCTGATAGCAAGTTACTATTAATATATTTTTCATATTGACAGGTGTATATGCACCCGTTAAGCCACCCTACCTTGGTGAAAGACATAATAGAGGATAGGTTCTTGCAGGATTCAATTACAGAGATGAGGCATAGTTTGAGATGAGGCCAATTTGTCATAAAGGTGACCCAAGTGGCATCCTCCAGAATCCTGGTTCACTTCACAAGTGGCCCAGTGAATAATTTCCAGATGCATGTACACAGAGGGCTGCTGCCTCAGTGAAGAATAAGCATTTGGGGTTCATTCCAGAATATATATTTTCAGTGCAATTGTCAGCACTTTTTTCCAGAAATAATTGCAGCTTAAAGATGTGCATGCTTCCACCATGAATGGGAATGTATCCCTTCTCGGAACAATATTTTCAGTTTGTTGGACAAAAAGTTACTCAATTGTCAGACCACTCAATGCCTGAGACATGATGAATCTTTCTCCCTCCCCTAAAGAAGTGACTTATTCCATGCTAATTAAGATGATATTTTGCTTGCTCTTCTTCCAGTTACAACAATTCAGAGCACCTCCAATCTTCTAACTGGCGGTTTATTGTATGTTGCCCCAATTATGACTGAACATACATTATCTACTTACAGGTAACAGTTTTCTGAGATTTCAGTGATGGCTGTTCCCCAAGCCTTGTCAAGGACCTTCTGTTTCTAAGGATGTGTTCTTGTTACTAAGCTAGAGCTCCAGGGAGGAATGGGTTTTTCATACAATGAACTCAATTCAGATACTAACCATATTGTATATATTTCTAGAGTTTCACAGAGACATGTAAGCCAAAAGCAGTAAAACATGCTTTAAGTAAATAATGAGGTCACGGGCAGCAAATTAGCTATTGCAGAGTAACACATCACAAAACATATGACTGCAGTAGCTGATTTCATCCAACACATGATAGTAATATGTGAACCAAACCATAATTTGCTAGCAGAAGTAACTAGAACAAAAAGAAAAGTGGGGACTAAAATATGTCTCAGATTACTATACCTCCTGTGAACTGAGAATTACAAAGTATTATTATACAAAGATGAACAGTTGGGAGGTGCAAAGATAAGCCAAAAGAAGAGATGCCAGGATTACATATACTACTGTTGCTTTCTCTAGGAAGTCTGCCAAACCATCTTATTTTGCTTTCTAAGGCTGAGATAATAGCATACGACCAGAGCAGGAAATACATTCACCTTTACCCCATTCCATTATTTGAAAACAAAATATTGCAACAATACTTTTTAAGAAAAAGACTTTGTTGTTCAATGCAAAATACACTTCAAACTAAGGTCTGTCAAGAGACTAATAGTTGGGATTCTAAGAAACGCGAATCTTCTTGCTAACAGAACCTGCATGATCCCAAAGGAAGGGTAACCCAGGAAGTCCTTGTACGAAAGGGGTGATGTACTATTATTGGTGGAGTAGGGTGTGTGGCTCACAATCTCCTTTGCTCCTCTCTGACCTAGAAGAAACAGAATTATGGCTGCTACACTTCTGAAGAAAAGTGTGTCCAGATTTGTTTGAATTTGAAGATTTACATCCAGAATTTTGATTGAAGTGCAGCTGGAACGACAGAATACTGCTACAGATATTTACTCAGAATTAAATTCTAAGAATGTATTTATTTAGACCAAATTCCAATTTGACATACATTCATGGAGTTTCACCTCCCTCAACTGCTTGGGAATGAGAAGCTGTTATCATTTCACTAACCATTCCTTCTGCCCAAGACAATCCACCAATCTGATCAACAATCTGCTGGGGATCTTCACGATCCCTCTGACAGCACAGACTTGTTATGCCACATCCCCACCCCCACCCCCAATAGCCAACAGCCTAAATCGTGTGAGGACGTAAGAAAACGATATAAATCCAGGGCGAGCGTTCTGATTTCCTATGGTATTTCTCTTATCCGTACCTATCGGTCCGGAGGCTCCGGATTCCTACAAACCACACTTCAGTCCTGTCCACCTGGATCTTCCCTAACTGAAGAATCCCAAACAAAGGGTGCACAAACTACCCTCCGCCTTCGGAATCCTCCGTCCTCGAAACAATAGCACTTCGGAAGCGCTTGGCTAAGCAGCTTTTACGTATGCAAAAATAGGGGCGCAGCAATTAATATGAACTATTTTTGCTCCTCTTGCAGCGGCCTCTGTCGGCGCCGCGCCGCGCCGCAGCCGTTCTCTTGCCAGTCCAGGAATAGCCATGTGGAGAGTACGAGGGAAAGGCTAGCGAGGATCGGGGAAGATCCGAGGCGAAAGAAAGAAAGCCGAGGAATCGCCGGGAGACCTGGAAAATGGGAGGCCGCCGGCATCAAAGCAATTAACGCCCTTCCCGGGATTTCTTCGGGGGGGAGGGCTGGGGTGGGAACGAAGATGTTTTTCCACCGATAGTAGTAGCAGCTTCGAATTCACCGGCGGCAGCCCCATAGCAGAAAGTGATTGCGGAGAGAGGCGCAATTCGCGCGGAGGAGCTCCCCGGCCCTTGGTAAGCCGACCCATCCTTTTTCCCCGGGTGATGAACTGGCGGGAGCATTTGCGCTATTCTGTCGGGGGATGGCGGCGGGCCACGGAAGGAGGGGAGGTGCGGACTCGGGCAGAACCGGCGACCGGCCAGACCTCCTCCGGTCCGAAAGCAAAAGGGGCGCGCGCCAAGGGAGCAGCTCCGCGCATTTGGGGCAAATTCGGTTCCTCCAAAGGGCCATTTGGCTTTCGAAGGGGCCAGTCCCTTGACCAGCTGGGAGTCTCTTCGACGTTCCGGATGGTGAGAAGGAAGGGCAGGGGAAGTTTGGTCGGGGCGAGTGAGGGGAGCGCTTTGCGCTTTGCAGAAGGGGAGCGCAGCCGGGCCGCCCTCGGGGATGGCGGCGACCCTCCGCGAGTTGCACTTCTGCAGGAGTTTGTAGGAGTTGGGAGCGCCTGCGGGGGCCGAGGGAGGTTGGCAGGCGGGAAGAGGGAGCCGTCCGAGCGTCTTCATTGCAGCGCTGGGCGCTGGGGTGCAACAGCAGCAACAGCAGGTGCAACCGCAGGATACCCAAAAGCTGCCAACCGGACTGTGCGACTGGATTTGGCCGCGGGCCCAGCCCGTTCCCGGTCGGTCCGAGGAGGTGCGTTCCTATTGGCTGGAGGAGGGGGGCCGTTGGAGAGATTTTGAGAGCATAACCCGAGGAGGGGGGGATCATCCAGGGCTCTGGCGAGAGGCGGGTGAGTGCTAGGAAAGAAGGCTAGGAAGGCTGCGGTTCTGCAAAGCCCTCTTCCTCTGGTCGAGGGAGGGGGATTGAAGGGGGGAGGGGGAAATGGGGTGCCCGTGAAGCAGAGCGCGGGTGTGTATGTGTGGGTGTGTGTATGAAGGCATCTATCCACGACTCCAGAGTGTGAAGGCGGCAGAGAACTGGAGGTGGTTTCTAAACGAGGCAACGTCTTCGTCAAGCAATCCTGCTCGGAAAAGCGTTTTGTTTTAATTTTAAGCGAGGCTGAGTCCTTCCATCAATCTCTGTTGTCACTTGACGATTTCCAGAGATTGATGGCTGCCACATCACTTAAAAAAAAACACCGTTCAGGCACACATCCCTGGCATTCAGTACATAGTGTCTCCAGCAACCTATGACAATTCTGGAGCCATTAAGACGTTTCTGAGCAACCCAGTTACAATTAGTCTGCCCCTTATGGATCCAACAAGTACAGAAGCAATGCCACTCAATTTTGGGATCAGGTATTGTCCTTTTCTCCTTTCCCCGCCCTTCCTATGGTAAGGCAAATACCAATATGGCCTTTGTTTTATTTAAGACAGAGCTGTATGTTGGCATCCTGAATATCTGGACAGATGAGCCACCTTTTTAAAACAGAGAAAATAAGTAAGACAAAAGAATGATTTTTATGTAGTGTGTGCACACACACACACACACACAGCATCCATACAGAAAGAAAGAGACATGGGATGGATTAAACAGCCATTCCGTAGAAAGAGATGTTCCAACCAGAAAAGGGTGTATTTCTTATTTGCCTGATTGATGTGAATAAGAAATAACTTTTATATTGTATGTCTGGATACTCATCTAGTTAGAGTAACAAGCTGTAGCCCCAAAGATCCAATTGTACTTGGGATTCAGGCAGACCAGGTGATTTCATTAACATATGGATCTTTCAAATACGATGAGACTTACATCATCTTGGTCTGGTTTGGTCATCCAGGTATCTTGAATAGACCCTTGATTGATTGGACAAATGCTGTAGTATGTTTTGCTTGAAATCTAGCGTATTAATTGCATTGAACTAAGTATTTACAATGGGCCACTTTTATTTCGTGCAGCTCCAGAACAAAGGTGATAAAGGCACACTCCAACAAAGTCAACCAATTCTGTTAACAATTTCATTGGGAATGGACAATGGGATGCTTCCTGATTTTATCATGATCAAAAACTGCTTTCTTCTTTGTATTTCCATGGATTTAGTCAGTCATTTTGGGTAAGTATTCACTAAATGACTTTTTGCCAAATTGAAGCATTTCAAAGTTTTCTTTTTCTTTTAATACATTTAATAAATCTAAGGGAAAATATCCTAATATCTTGTATGACCATCAGTGGCAGAGTGTTATATTTGGGACAAACCATTTACTGTTTTTTTCAACTGTAAAACAGCAATAAGATGGGTATATTCTGCAAGTCGGATATACAGTAATTCATATAACTATGTGATATCAAATAAAATATGTGTTAGTATTGCTACTCCAACATTGTTTGATGTACCTAGCTTATGGTATCTATTAGAAACAGAATGTTAGTTAATTAGTAGGTAGTCTGTATTTTGGAAGTTATAGCAAACAGAATAGTATGACTTCTCATTTGCTTTCTCTCCAACTTCCATCCTGTCCAGAAAGGAAATGGACACATTACCAAATAATGCATGTTCTCTGAATAAATGTATCACATTTTTTATTTTTATTCATTTAAAATATTTATATGGCCATTCTACTTATTCAGCAAATTGTTACAAGTTTTGTTAGTAGATGTTTTAGTAGCTTATCCTTCACTTGTTGCCTACTAGTGACAGTTGCTTATAAATGCACTTTCTGTTCTGGTGGTGAGCTCTGGTGGTTTCCAAGCTTTCGATGCAGTTACATCTGGCCCAGTTTCTCTCTGTTCTGTTCTCCCACAATGTATTACTGTAATGATTATGAAAACAGTATGGGACAGAGATGGAATAAATCACTATAATGAGGATACCAAAGAAATACCAATGGAACAACTTCCTTCTGTTGAGGGCATTTCTATCCACTTCTCCGGAATCAGGATTATTTCCTTGGGGATAGGACAAAGATTGGCTACAAGGCATGGAAATTGTAAGAAGACAAAGGCTTAATGACTATGAGAATTAGTGTTTTATGTATAGAAAAGTGAATTTTGTTGAGTTTTGCCTAGGACAGGTGTAAACGTGAATGATTTGTGGGATTGTAAAGTAGCTATTCACTGATTTCTGGTTAAGACACCTTAGGTATGCATTCCAGTATTTTACTGCATTGGGATTACAAAAGTTAGTGCTACCATATAAATCATCTGGGTGGAAAAGTGTTGCCAAATGTCAAGCTTTAGGTTGAGGGAAGGAGGTTGTAATATCGTGCAGCAAGCAGTAATTTTTCTTTTTTTGTTCATTCATTTCCGATTGTCAGAGATTGCCTGGATAAGTCTCTGCAGTTTTCTTGGCAAAGTTTTCCAAAAGTGACTTGCCATTGCCTTTCTCAATAATTAAAACAAATAAGCCTTAAGCAAATGATGTTAGTAGATCTCAATATAGATAGTCCTCAATTTACAACAATTCATTTAGTGACTGTTTGAAGTTACAAAGTGACTTATGGCCATTTTCTACACTTACGACCATTGCAGCATCCCCATGGTCATGTGATTTACATTTGGATGCTTGACACCTGACTCACATTTATGAGGGTTGCAGTATCCTGGTGTCATGTGATCAACCTTTGCAACCTGCTGACCAGCGAAGTCAATGGGGAAACCAAATTCACTTAACAACCCTGTTACTAATTTAACAACTGCAGTGATTCAGTTATCAATGTGACAAAAATGTCATAAAATGGGGCAACACTCACTTAATATATTTTTCACCTAGCAACATAAATTTTGGGCTCAATTGTGGTTGTAAGTCGAGGACTATCTGTACACACTTAAATTCTGGGGTCACTTTGATCTACCTAAAAGGAATGTTGCAAAAAATTGTAATACTGTGATGTAGTTCTAATTAGATATGTTTGGGACTCTTCTGTAAGTTAACATAAAATGTTCTAAGTTAAGGATGGGCAGTTAATTTTCCCTAGGGCTCACTTGTGAAACTGGGATTGTTGTGGAGGACCAAACCAATAGGACCAATACATTACAGTGAAGGTGTATAGGTGTGCATATATGTAAATTTGAAAAAAAAAGTAGCAGTCGCCTTCGGAATAAAGCAATGCTGTTGTATTGCGTGCATGGTGTATTCTTATTTATACTGATTTCTAATCTCTGATTAACCTCCTGTGGGCTGGACAGGACTGGATGTGGACTGGGGGCTGTGAAATAACCAAGTCTGTTCTAATTGCTTTAAACAATCTCCTCTTTCCTCTTTCCCCTTTTCCTTGTCTCCTTTCTTTTCAGGTACTTTTCATTTTTCTCTACATTGATGCTTGTCACAAACCCCTTAGAGAATACTTTAATTGTGTGATAGAAAAGAAAATGACAATCTTTAAAGTGTTCCTACTTTTGCTGTCATTTTTAGCAGGAGGATCTTGAGTGGGCTTTTTTATAATCTGAAGAATTTTAGTAGAAATTTATGTTTTAATGAGAAATATATTGAAGAGCTTTTAATTTTAAAAGAAATCCTTTTTTCACTAGTTAGTGGAAATCATAGTTTAAAAGAATAATGTTATAATAAAGATCACTTGATACCTTCTAGATCATTTGAAAGGGTAAACATATTTTCATTGTATCTCACTTGTCCTGTGACTTTTCAGCTGGTGGTATTACATGTTCCAAATGAAAGTAGATAGAACGAAAGTCAAGTGGCTGAGCACTATTGTTTCAGTGGAAGCCTATTAGAAAGCTTCTGTTTGAGAGTTAGTGAAATGAGCCATCGTGAGATCAAGCAACAGTTTCTATCGTTAGTGCACCTAGGTGCGATGTCCTTATTCAACTGGCATCAGTGGTCCCAGTTGTATATAGTTTATTGGTCTGATTGCTTGGTTATATTCTTGCAAGGAGAGTCATCTTTCATTTGTCCAGCGACTGAGAAGGGATACACATAATAAAACATAGGCTTAAAAGAAATACAGTAACTGGACAAGAAACTGGTTCTCAAGAGAAAAATATATCAGTGAAAAAGCAAAATGAATGAAGTTCAGGAAGATTGGTCTGAGGTGAGCTGTGGTCCAGAGACAATAATATGTTTGTCCCCCAAACCAGAAAGACTAATAAACCACATCCTGTTCATACTGTTGGCATTATGTTATTAGAAAAATGCTTTGATTTAATGGTCATTTTATCTAACCTGAAACTGAAGGTTAGAAGTGTCTATCAAGTGTTCATTGCAGCTCCCCAAACTATTATTACTAAGATATGTTACAAGAAGTCATAACTTTGAGTTTTGTACTGATTTTAATTGTTAGCTGCTGTGACCATTAAAAAGGCAAAATAAGTACAGAAAGGAGATTTTGATTTGTCTTCCACTTCACTATTTGAATATCTTTTTTATTTTAAACGAGTACATTTACCATTCTTAAAATCAATTGGAGTGTTGAACAATTTGTTCTTATGAGTGTACTTCGTCAAAAGAAATTAAAATAGAGGACATTTGTATATGGTTGACAAATTTCAAGAACAAATCTTAAAAACTAGAATAATAATGATTATTGACAATAGCTGCTCAAGGCTGGACAAGGAGCAGTTGATTTAAAATTGTAGAACAATATAGTAACATTTTTTGCTGAAACAGTCCATTAAACCATTTTTAATAGAAGCAAACATTTTCTGGGTGATGTTAAAATCTGATACTGTTTTGGAGTATGTAGCACTGTTAATATGGTAACAAATATAGTTATTCATAATAAGAAATGTAACAGATTATTCCTAATTCCCTCTAAGTATACTGAGAGTCAGTTTGGTATAGTGGTAAAGGCATCAGGATAGAAACTAGGAGACTGTGAATTCTAGTTCAACCTTAGGCACAAAGCAAACTAGGTGACCTTGGGGTAGTCACTTTCTCTTACACTAGGAAGCAGGCAATGACACTTCTGAAATCTTGCCAAGAAAATTGCAGAGCGTTGGCCAGGCAGTCACCAGGAGTTAAGATTGATTCCTAAATAAAAGAGTTAAAAGTGTCCTTGCGTAAGTTTTGATAAACATTTTTTTCAAAGAACAGTAAAAGGAAGAGGCTTTTCAGTATTTTATCAGCTTGGCAGAGCTAGGTAATTGTAGTGTATGTTATTTGTCCTTAAAAGTTTTTAGCAAAATCATTTTTAAATGGATAACATTTGCCAAACAGCTCCTCTTCATCCACTCCAGGAGTGAAATCCTCCATGCACTGCATTGTTGGCTATAGACTATTCTGATGCGCAATTGAGCAATGCAGGAGTTTGTGAAAGTTTGCGTAACTGAGCCAAGGAATTTGGTTCTCTTTTTAGCTGCAGTTTAGTAACTACCTTGAGAATTATTTGGGGATTCCATAGAAAAGCCATATAGATCTTCATAAGGGTTGCTTTGATAAATTGAAGCAGCATTTTCAATACACCAGTTGACACCAATTGTGTCCATTTATCACATCCTGACATTTCAGTAATTACTTTTTGTTTTATGGTGTATTTTGTAAAAGTAGTAAACAGAAAACCAATATATTGTAAGCAATGGAATATATGATTTCTTTTTTGTTTTCTTTTGTAGTAAGTGGAAATGCCTTCTTTATTTCATAGGCGAATGTGTGCACTGTGGGATAGCCTATTTTAACAATTAGGATAGAAAAGCAGTAAAGTACAAGTTCTGGAAATAAATAAATGCTTTGGAAAAAGAAATCAGAGTGTGTTATAGATTTAAAACATATATGCTAACTATTAATTTTATGAACACTGATTTCTTAACACTAGAAAAAAATCTCCATATTTGTTTTAGTTAAGTTTAATATTATAGCAATTAAAATAAAAGTTATTAATCAATTTTGATTTATCATGAAGGCCTCAGCAAAAGCTATCACCAAGTTTGTGTTGGGTGATTTTGGAAGCTAAGCAGGGTTGATCCTGGTTAGTACCTAAATGGGGCAATCTTAGGAAATCTTATGTCTGTTAGTTCACCTATTTATTGTTTCAATGTTTCCTGGAAGAAGGAAGTAATAAATTATTTTCATAATTCTGCTAAAAAGCTGCATGGATGTAATCTCCATGTGGCATGCTTGTATCTAGGGTGTCTCTACATTAGTTATCATGCAAAACTAAA